AGGATGTCCATGGTTCCAGCATGATATCAGCCTTAGGGACACACTATTGTGTGAAGCAATTCCATGAGGCTTTGGCAGTGGGCACAAGACATCTTTCTGAGACAGTGGGAGAGCCTGTTTTGGACTACACTGTTTGGAAGATCAGCTAAAGCAGTGAGAGGTTGTGCCTCAGCTGTGGTATCTCCCTCCTCTAAGTGAATTAAGGCTGTTGGTTCTGCCAGGAAAAATGATGGGTCAATTTTCCACTCTTCTTTGTGAGGCACTTTAAGAACACCATGTCTCATGCTCTTTTTCAGACTGCCTTCCTCCAGTCACAAGGCTGAGGCACTGCCCTTAACACTGCATCACCAATCTGTGCTAAAATAACCTTTCAGTTCAACTCATGGTTTCATGCCAGTAGGTAGAGTTCAATCTGCTGCTGCTGGAAGGTTGTTGAGCCCTTGCAGGTACCACAAGAGAGGGTCCCAGGGTAATCAAGGCTGCTCTCCCTTGAACATGGGTCTGAGGAGCTCTGTAAAGCCAATGTAGCAGCAGCCTTCACTTGTCCTACCTTGCCAAGGATGTCATCTATCTATCCAGAGCCTGAGACAGGGACTGAGCTATAAAATCATATTTGTTCTACCCACAGATGAGGAAAATGAGGAGGAAAACCAATGCAGGAATGTTCTCAGCTCATCCACTGCCAAGCGAATGCCCCAGTGGAGCTGCAGACAGGTTATCACTCGCTACCTGACAGACAAAAGAAGAAACCTCTAGGATCCTTCTTCATATCTCTTCTGGTGTAGGTGATTGCTTGGAAGTGAAAACCTCAGGGGAAAACCTGTGTCTCCTGGTCAGAAACTGACTGTAATGGCAGAAAAATACTCACTGAGTGTATCCCAACCCCAGACCCAGACCTGCAGCGCACAAGCTTCTTGTTCCTCCTGCAATCATATTCACACTTTGCAGTCAAAACAGGAAAATATCAAGGGTCCAATTTTCTAAATATTGGGAAATAAAACTACTAATTATTTCAAGAGGTAAGTACCACTCCACTTGCATGCAGGTTTCAGAGCGGAATTTCTGTTTCGTGGGAGAAGAGCACCATAAACATCCTCCCACAGCTGCTCCCTGCCCCTTGCTGCCGGTGGATGCAGGGCACACAAATGATCTGCCTCAGGCTGATGAAATGGTTGAATGATGGGGGGCAGGAAAGGCTCCAGCAAGTTACATCTCTCTAGAGACAGGGAAGGAAATTACGGCACTTTTTCAGGTCTTGACAGGTTTCTTGAGTAGTGCTACAGGTGCTACACCACAGGTTCTTCTGTGGTGCTACAGGTTAAGGGATCTCTGTCTGATGAGGCATGGGGACCAGGGATCAGGGATGGACTCCACAGTCACTGCCTGAGGCTCCTCCAACGTTTCTCAGGTCTTTTATGAATACAGGAATGAGAACTAGAGACATGTAAATGCTCAGGATACCAATCAGATCAAGGACTCCAGCAAGTTTCTGAAAGGAATATTTTGGTTCTTGTGCTGTTGAAGCAGGAGCTGGGTGACTGAGGGAGTGATGGCAAGTGGCCTTCCTAGTTCAGCAGGACATGGCTTTGCTGGGTGTACAGGACGTGGAGCTGCTGACAGCTGTGGTATCATGTCCTTCCACCCCCAAAGGGCAGAAGATTGCAGACACACCTCCTGCAGCTTCAAACTTGGTGAGGTGGGAGAAGAAACCCCTGATTTCCACAGCTCACAGAGACCACTATTGAGATTACCCAAGAGGAAATGTCGGGACAGGGCTAATAGAGCACCAGATCTGGTGAGGACCATCATCTCCTACAAGCTGTCCTTGGAACAACCATCTCTCCTTCCTCAGCTCACTGAATTATGTCACTGGTGCACCACTGAGCCAGAACTCCCCCTGGGGTGGCTGTGCAGCAGTTCCCATGCCCTCCTTCACACTTACCTCAGGAACTTGTTCAGGTCGCCGTGCTTCATGTACTCAAAGACCATGATGAGAGGGTCTCCGTCCCCACACACGCCGTAGAACTTGACGATGTGCTCGTGCTGCAGGTTGGTGAGCAGCTCTGCCTCCCGCTGGAAATCCTTGCGGGCTGCCAACGTGGGGTCTTTCAGTGCCTGAAATGAGGGACACAGACACACACAGGGTGGGCTCGGGCGAGGGAAAAGCAGAACAAATGGGTCACAGCATCACAGAGGAGCTGGTGAGGAAGGGAGGGGAGCGGAACCGCTGCCACCGGCCCCATTGCTCTGGGAGGGCTGGTGGCACCACCTAAATGTTTTGTTCATGTAGTTACTGGCCCAGTGGGTTCCCCAGCTCATTTCTTAGGCAGCAGCAAACATGCCTCAGAGGGTAATAGCTTCCAATTATTCCCAGCTTGGGCAGAATTTGTACTGGTGACCTAGGGGTGAATGGCTTCATATCTCATTATTATTAAATTTCTGAGCCAGTCAGTCCTTGCTATCTGTCTTTTATTTTGAAATAGCTGACTGCACTGCCTTTATTCAGAAGATGGATTTGCCTAGCTGTGCAGTTATTGTGTGGATTTTTCAAACTGCCTCCGAAGAAGGACATGGTCAAGTTTTTTCTCATAATTTTTAAAATCATGTTTTTATTCTCTGCTGTTTATAGCAGCTCCCCAGAAGACTGATGCTGAAATTGGTATCCTTATTGAGAATATCTCATCTTCCACAATTTGAGCATGCCACTTTGCCATTGCAGGGCAGCTTGCAGGCTCCAGGTGGTGAGGACCAGCCTGACATTGCAGAGTTGCCATGAAGATGTCGCTGCAGGTGCAGCCGGTAATCAGGGAGGAATTCCCAGGGTTGCAGTCTGGCTTGTCCATGCATTATTGTGCAGTTGCATTGGTGAGTTAGCTTGAAAGCAGCTTGTTGTTATGTCAGGGTACCAAGGGAGGGAACTTGATAAAAAAGTTGAAGTCCAGACCATTTGACAAGATGGAATGGCCATGAGAATCAGCACGGTCTTTGCAAACATTTAAGGAAATGAAGAGGCAAATCTGGTTTTGAGTTGCTGTGTCTCAGTTACATCCTCCCCATCCTCCACATGCCAGGACTGTTTAAAACCAATACTGGTTTTAAGTGTGCAGCCTAACAGGAGCTGTAAAAGACTCAAGGAAACTTGTTCTAGTTGTCCTGAGTCACTCTGATGAGCACCAGTTCCCTCTCAGTGGTGAGGGACACGAGGTAGCTCTCCCCTTACCTACACACAAATATACCTTCTCCCTTTTCCCCGTGCCTTCAATCTCCCCATACAGACAGGAGAAGCAGCATGAGCAGGTGCAGGCTGCAACTTATGCTTAAAAAGAGATGTTAAGCATCAGAAAACTGTGCTTGGAGGACAGGACCCAGCACAGTGTTACTGCACCTTGGCTGGCCCATGGTACTGCTGGATATAGTGAGCAGGTACTTTTCCCCTTGGAGCAGATCTGCTGGAAGGTTTTTCCCCAAGCCTTAGGACACTACCTCATCTTCTTCTCCTGCCCCCAAACTACTAGACACATGGCGTAAATCTATTTTAATTCTTTGTCCTTTGGGATAGCTTGACTAGAGATATTTAGATGAATGTTAGTTACATGGTGCAGATGGCAAAGCATCCATCCTTATCTCAGGCACCCAATTACTTTTAGTCATTTAATATCTTCATAATGTTGATGCTACCCTATTCTTCTGCAGGGAAATAGTCACTTCCCCCCTTTTACCTGTGGTTGCACATAGTATTTCAAGCTGCAGTGAGCTTAGGTTTCCTCCCCTTCACACACAATCATTTCTAGAAGGTGTTAGGACTGTAAGTTTGTAAATATGACACATCAAAAAAAAGTTATTAAACCCCCCACATTACCAAAGTTACCCAGTCGAACATTTAGAAATGAGGAAAACAGGGATGGAACAGGAAAAGAAGACCAGAACCAGAGGAAGAAAAGGGATGTCTCAGTGAAATCACTGGAATGACTCTCTTGGGAAGATTTGGGGTGGATTTTTTTGTGCCTCCATCCACGATTCTTCCATAATTTCTGGCAAGTCCCTGAGCATCTGCAAGGTTGCATCTGTTGTCACGAAGTGACAGTTGTTTCAATATTTCCTGGAAAATCCCCTCTTATGTGACATCATGGCCAGGTCTCCACAAGCACTGTATGTTTATTGCTGCAGCAGGGCTCACTCTGAGTCTGGTACCTGCTGTCCAGGGGCTGGAAAGGGAGGTCAGTAACTCCATTTTCCATCTAAGTGGATCCCTTCAGCTCAGTTTTCCTGCTTCTCCATCTGCCCTTCATCCCTTGCAAAACGGTGATGATACAACCCCAGCAACTTGCTGGGAAGCTGTGAAAACAGGCACTCTCACATCTAGGGAGTTCTCTGCACAGGAGTGATCACCACAACGGAGCAGCTCACAGAGAAATGAAAAATACGTGTTTGAAGGACATGCCCTGAATACAGCCCCTCCAGCATTTCTAGTACTTGACTTTGTCACCTCAACACTCTTTGCTGGATATAGTTTTTGTGCATTTCTTAGCATGCTTTTAGAGTCAAGCTGAATAAAACAGGGAGTTTGTCCATGTCATCACATCAAAACTCAGCTTATCTGCGGGGCTGCGACCTCTAGATTTGCTGAAAATCTGAGTCCATTTAACTGAGTGAGTAACACAGCCACTTTATTTGGCCCTGGAAGAGAGTCCCTGAGAGCAGGGCAGAAGCAGGCTCTGGGCTGTGGACTCAGCTGCCCTTAACCAGCATATCCTGCTGCTGCCCTGAGCTGCAGTGACTGGGGAGGTAGTTCTCAGCCTCTATCAGGAGCATGGGATCTTCAGGAAATGCAGCCAAATCTCAACTTAATATGTAAAACCTTTTTTTTTTTTTTTTTTTTATTTTACCTCAGACTTATAATGTGGCCCAAATTAGAGGGATTTTTTTTTCCCTGCCACTCCCAGAGCTGGCAAGAAGCCAGATTCCAAGGCCCTGCTCCATACAGCTGGAACTGTATGATCTTGCAGGATGAAAGGCATTTTGGAGATGTAAGCTCATAGTAGCAATTAACAGAAACAAGTTCAGATGCTGTTTCTGCCTACATGCAAATGAAACTCAGAAGAGACTCAAGAGCCAGGCTTGCTAAGGGATGGCTGACACTGATAGGCAGGTACCAGCCCTGTAAACAAGCAATTAATCATATGGGTGTCTTCGCTGCCTCAGCTTTAACCAGTCTCAGAGGTGAAAGGTTCAGTCTTGCACTTCACTGCTGGAGCAAAAGGGGACACATGAGCTTACAAATAAAAAAAGGCTTGAGCTGCCAATGATTAGAACAACTCTCAAGTAACTGGTTGCCTCCAGCAGGCTGGAGAGAGTGCTGGAACCTTCCACCCTGTAGAACATCGGTTCTAATGCAGAACTTGTTCCAAGGAGTTAGGAGGCATTGGTTAAATCCAAGGGATTAGACTGTATGTGTCTGCTAACTGGTGCCACTTGAGAGGAGAGCGCAGTTCTGCACTGAGTGGTCTCCCCTGCCCAGAGCCACGCTGATGGGACACAGCTCACACAGGGACTATCACAAGGATGCAAGCAGCACAGCACAAGCCAAGCTGAACCTGTGTTGGCTCAAAATAAGCAAAACAGGGGCGACCTGTGGCTAGGCAAGCAGGAGCTGAGTGGAGCTGAGCCGAGCTGCTTCGCCCATCTTGCGGCAAATTGATCCCAGAAAATTGGTTCATCGTGCTTAGCTTTTAAGTACTTATTTTTGCTGAGTCCTTTTTTTGTTTCAGCTTCTGCATGTTACACAAAAAGATAAAATCCAGAAGGAGCAGGGCCCCAGTGTCTCACAGAGGGAGGTGGATCCACACTGGGCTGCTTCAGCTGCACGGGAGTTCACGGCTTCCAGACCAGCTTCTCCTCCCTGTCTGTCTCCTGGCTGCGCCAGCAGGAAGGGAGGTTTTGGCATTGGTGAAAACAGACAACCTTGAAGCAAAACACTGAAACTTTGTGTGACTAAGTGGATTTACCACAATCTCCAGCATCAAATAAATCTCCACCCATGGCCCCCAGCCCTCCCCTGCTTCCCTTTCCCATGCAGGCTCATCCAGTCTCGCTTTGCCAGCCAGCCCCTGCCATTCACCCTTGGGATTTACCTTCACTGCCACCAGCATTTTGTCGTTGGTGGGGCTGAGGTTGTAACACTCGGCCAAGAACACCTTCCCAAAGGCACCTTCTCCCAGCTCCCTCTTCAAAACGATGTCTCTCCTCTTAATATGCTGGACATCTGTTGGAGGGAGGGGAGGAAGAGGGAGAGGGTTGAGGGAAGAATGAATCAGGGTTAATTCAGGGAATGGAAAACAACTAATTCAATTTTCTTGCAAGCTGCAAGGGATCTGAAATTGCTTTGCAAAAACATCTACAGGGATCTTTTTACCCACCCACAGAACGCAGCCATCTCTGGGATGGAGCTAGTCTCACGAAAAACATCTGCGAGGAAAGTACTTGAAGTTTATCATGTTCTCATGACAAGCTCGTGGCAAGCTTCTCCACAGGGAGAGGAACCTTTGGGGCAAGTTCTGCTATAAAGACCTGAATCTCTTTGGAATGATCCTGGAAATAATCCTTCTCCTGTGAGGCGTAGCAAAGGTCACATACTTCTGATGCCAGGCCAGGCAAGATTAGAAGATCCTGTTGAGTTTTGCATTTCAAATGGGATTAGTTTAAATTCAAACGCAGCAGATTTTTGGGGTTCAACCTTGGCAAGTCAAATCATTCCCAAGAGGAGGAGGACCACTGACCCCCATGCATGTTAGGGCATCAGCAGGAGCCAGCTGGAAGCACCGAGTACTGTCCTGCAGCAGGACCCTGACCCTGCAGCCTTTACTCGACTGTTACCTCAGAAAGGTCATCCCAGGATACAGTCACTGGCACAACAGACAAACTGAATCCATTAGTTTCAATGATCCTTTCCACTGACATTTAGGATGGCAAGGACTGACAGAGAATAGCAACCCAGGTTTCAGGAAGAATCAGAAGAGCAGTAGCTATTAATTTACCAAAGGTACAGAGGCCAAAGAAAATTGGTCTGCTCGGCTAACAGGTCATTCCTAAGGGCTGAGTCTACCCAGGGATCAGGCATGTACAAGGGTGGGTAAGTGACTGTGGGATATCCACTAATGTTTTGGCATGATTAAATGCCACTGGTTGCTGGGAGAAGTTGTGGGTTTCCATATCCTCTTCTGGGAACAATACTAGGGCACAGCTACTTGCTACCAAACCTCCAAGCACTTTTCTGATATCACAGCACCCCTGCAGCTCCTCAGCAATACAAAGAGGCTTTCTAATGCCCATAATAAGCTGTAGAAGCAGCTACAGATGCACAGCCACCATAGCATTTTCTGGAGGAACAGTACTCAAAACTTCATCTCTCTAAACTGTCCTTCAGTGAGGCTTACTGCCTCCCTTGAGAACTCCGGCACCACAGACCACCCCCAGCTTCAGCCTGAAGGTCATGGCAGGGCAGTGGAGAGCTGTACACTTTTCTCCATTGCCTGGCGAGCAAAAGCTGATGCATGACAGGTCTCCCCAAGCAGAGGCATTAAGTGGGTCAGTGCCCTCTTTCCACTCCTACCCTGAAGCGTCCATAACCCTGAATATGTTTGCTCACACAAACTGGACCACTTTTGAGTCTTTTCCATCTCTTCCATCTGGCACAGGTACACACCCCTTGGCTCAGGTGCATTTTCCATGGGACACTGCAGATCCAGGAAGTGGAGGTGACTAACTCCAGGTTTCAAACTGGCTGCAGGGACATGTCACTAACAGAGATCACAATCTGCCACCAGCTCCTGCCACCCAGGTGTCCAAACAGGTACCTGTATCGACCCAGGGGGGCATGTGCCCCACAACAACATAGGTAACACAATGCATCAAAACTCCAAGGGATTAGAAGACAAGCATCCTAATGGATTTTGTACAATTAAGCTTTTTAATTAGGAGCTCAGAGGCAGGTTTAAGGAGCTGCCATTTCTGGGCCTTTGGCTTGTTTGGGAAGATGGATGCCGTGAGATTGCATAAGCAATGGGCCTTGTAATGAAAGATGCCTCTCTGGGGAATTCTCATTGACCTTTTTGTTAATTGTTCCGCAGACTGAAAAGTGTTACTTACCGATATTAATAACATTTGTAACATTAAGGCACAGGGTGGTAGGCACATCTAAAATTACTCTGGTATTAAACCTGCAGTGACAGCCAGGGAGAACAAATCACATGTGGACTTTGCCTTCTCCACCTGGTTTAGCTGAGTGTTTAAGGAGTACCTTGAGAAATCTGAGAAATTATGTGTTGAAATGTTAAGTGATGCACTTGGGTGAGGAAAGTCCTAATCTAAGAAAAGCTCAAATGGTACCAATTTACTTTATAGAGTAGAGAGAAAGGATTTTTTCCTCTTTCTCTTGGCAAGCATTTCTATAACACTCATCACTACAGTACCTTGGACTTACTGTATTGACAAACCACATATTTGCATTGTTGGTCTCCTGAATAGCAGCAGTCAAGAAAGCTGCAGGGGAATGATCTGGTACTAAGAGGAGCCCAAGGACACTTTAAAAAACTCAGAAATGTAGCAATTGCAATCCGATTACCCCATTTGGTGTGAGATAAAGTTAAAAAGGAAACTGTCTCAGAATAACCAGCAATACTATTTGAGAATGTTTATACTTCTTGTGAGTGACACCATGAGAACTGAAGCAAACTTCTCTTTCTGAACTCTCCAGAGTCTTGCCCAAAATGTTCAGCTTCCAATTTTTCCTCCCAACAACATCTTAATAAATGATCAGACATTTCTGAGAGCTGGCATCCAAACTGTGTAATTATGTCTACATTATTAAAATAACATCCCATCTGTGTTCAAGACCAGATTTTGCAGCAAGTTGTTAAAGTCACCTGAGAAGCTTCAGGGAAAATTTATATGAAGAATTAAAGGTGCTATTGCAGCAGGCAGAGTTGAACTGAGAGAGGAGCAATACTTTTGCAGTGGTGGATGCATGTAGCACTGCTGGATTTAAAATAAACTTGGGTGGTTATAAAAATAAAAGGGTCATGAAGTTAAGTAGTTTGACAGCAACTGGACAATCTTAATGTAGAATCAGAAAAGTACTTTTGCTGATCACAATTTCTCTCAACCTCAATTGGCCATAAATTTTGCTTCACAGCATTTTAGACACAAATGGAATAATAAGTGAGTTATAATAAATTGCTTTTTCACATGCTATAGGACTAAAATAGTGAATTTTACACCAAATTCTTCCATTCACAGAGAGATCAGCACTATGATTAATTCTAAATTACTATTAAAGATGGGCTTTGGCCATAAAGCAGTGACAAACCACCCCGGCACAGTGCAGATGGCTGTGTTATTGTGCTAACCCTGCACCTCTGTGCTCGTCTGTCCTGGCTGTAACTCACAAGGAAGGCAGAGTAGCCATGAAGGATGCTCTGCTGCAAGGGCACCTCAGAGGTTCATCTGCATAAATCTGTTTACCTCCTCCTGGAGAAAGCTGAGCCCTGTCTGATAAACAGCTGGTGTTTATTTGTTTTAGGCAGGCAGTGGTGTGCTAATCTGTCTCGGCTGTGTTGCAGTCAGCCCTGTAGACAAGGTGTATGCAAACTGCCTTCCCCTAAGTACGACTCCTTTGGTTTTTTTTCTCCCCTTGTACCATTAACTTATAAAAACAAGCCAACAAGACAATTCAAAAAAAGAACCTTTGCAGGAGCCACAGGAAGATCTGACAGGAAAATAAGCAGACTTGACAGCATGATGGGAACTCATTCAAAGCCGTGCTGTATCTGCAGGAAGGATGCGAGCACACAACACCAAAATAATTCCAGTTTAAAATGAAACATCTTTTAGTCCTTGTTTTGGGATTACTATGTTGCTGCATGACACAGGCGGAAAGTTGGGTAGATTTTCCACCTTCCTTCTTGTCCATCAAGATTTAACACATGGAGGAAGTGTTTCAAACTCTTGTTGTGAATAGCCCACTAACCACACCAGAAAGCACCCAACCTGCAGCTGGTTGGAAATGGCCTGTGACTTCAGTTCAGTGACAGCAGCAGGAGGGGAAGTTAACAAGAACAAGTCTGGGACACTGCACCCACCTTTACAAATAGCCTCCAAAGCAGAAAGCTTTCCCTTTCACTGGAAGAGCCGAGGCAGAAGGGTGGCAGCTGCAGATCTGCAAAGGGATCTTACCTAACCACCTCTGAACCTTTTTGCAGGACAACTGACTTGATCTCTGCTTAAAGTGAATTTAATCAGAAAAGTGGCTGTCTAAAACCAGAAACTTCTTCCTCCCCATCATTGCACCCATGTGTCCTCAGTCATGTCTGTTCATCTCCTTGACACAAACACATTCTAGTTTGCTAAACTTGCAAACCCAGCACATCCATGAGATACAGCGGAAGAAGAGGAGGGAACAAGGTTAATTCTGCTTTTCTTACACATCAATCTACCACTTTCTGATGGGTCACTTCTGCACTGGCCCTTGTGATTGAGTCTGGAAAAACAAGGACTTTTCCACTTGTATCACTGATTCAATGACTCTTCTCCCATCTTTTATGCTCATATTGCAGAGTCTCTCTAGCTTATGGTAAGGTCAAGGCACAAAGACCCTGACCCAACCTCCAAATCCCAGGTAGAGCATATGGAGCTGGTAACAGACTGTGTGTAATGAAAACAACTTGTTTTGAATAACCACCAGATTTCAATCACATGAGCGGATATTGGGACGTTTCATTGGTACATTTCATGAATCTAATTTTCCAATTACTGTCTCATTTCTAAATCAGTCTTGGGCATCATATAAAGAAGAGATGGGTTCAGTGACACTGCAAATTCTCCATTTCAGATTCCCATCACAGCCAGAATACTTAAAACCATGGTTTGATAATACAGTTGAAACCTGGATGCACAATTGTGTTTGGACACAGATGACTACAGTGGGAGGTAAATGGACAAATCAAACTCCAAGCAGAGTAAACCATGAGCAGTGCCAGTACTTAAGTTACAGTGAAATGCAAAACTACTAATGCTGGATCATTTACACCAGGTCAATTTCAATTGTTAGATTAATTAATTTCAATTACTTCCTCACATCTCCTTCTTTCAAACTCCCAATCAGCAAGCAGTCTGTCTCATTGTTGTGTTTTTAGTGAGTTTCTTGATCTTGGACTATTAATTCACAAACAACATGTGGCTTGCTGGCTGAACAGAAAAAAGTTACAG